ATTAAAAAAATTATCAAATCAATTAATCGATTAATTATCAACTAATTCAATTACAACTAATTGTTAATCATCAATTAATTGATAATCATATAATTAAATTAACCAATTAAAATTAAAATTATATGATATATAAATAAATTAATAATATTATATATTTATATGCTTCTTTTTTATTTTTTTTTAATGGATAATGATAACTTTAGTGACTTTATTTCTTTATCTGACAAAGATGAAGAAAAAAGTAATATTAATGATAAGTCATCATCTATTTCTATTTAAAGTTCTAATAATTTATTAAAAAACAAATTAAAAAAAAAAAGTTTCGTTTGACAATTTTTTAAAATATATACAGTTTCAACAATATCTTCAAATAATCAAAATAAACAAATTGAAAAGGTTCAATATTTATTTGAAGAATGTAATATAAAATATTTGTGGAAAGGTTTAACTAGTAATTTAATTAGTCATCTTCATGATAAACATCAAATTACTCAACATTCCCTTTCAAATAACTTAATAAAAGTTAAATAACAAATGATTTAACAAGTTATTACAAAACCCTATTCTCCTTATATTCAAAAAAAACTTATCAATCAACTTGTACATTATATAATTTCTTGTACATAACCTATTTCTATTGTTGAAAATAATGAATTTAAACTTTTTATAAAAAGTTTAGATTTTCAATTTGAAATATCTAGTATTAGTATAATAAAAACAACAATTTTTAACTCTTATACTTGGACAATTAAACAACTTACAGATCTTATTTCAAAAACATCAGATACTATTTCGTTAACTTTAGATATTTGGACATCACGAGCACATGATAGTTATCTTGGAATTACTTGTCATTGGCTTACAGATACTTTTGAGTTATGCAAAACCATACTTAATATTGGAAAAGTTAATAAGCATTATACATTTGATATTGTCGAATCTATTAATTTAACATTGGAAAAATTTATTATTAATAATAAGAAAGTTTTTTCAATTATAACAGATAATGGTGCAAATGTTAAAGTGGCAATATAACAAATAGGTATTACCAATGTGATGTATGCAGGTTATACTCTTCAATTAAGTATAAATTTAGAACTAAAAAATGTTCAAGAACTTCTTTCAAAATATAGAATACTTATTTCTATATTATCAAGAGAAAAAAAACAAATACAACTTCGTGAAGCTCAATTACAAGTTACACCAGGACTTAAAGAACCATTAGATATTATTAAAGATGTAGATACACAGTAGAATTCTACTTTTTATGCGATTGAACAATTGATACATTTAAGATCAGCAATTATACAACTTCATTCAACTTTTAATAATCATACTATTCCAGAAGTCAAAAAAGAAGCTGTAGCTTTTAATTCTGCAATGCTTATATCAGAAGAATTTGAATTATTGAAAGAACTTATTGAAGTTCTTTCTCCTTTTAACAAAGTAACCCATTTTTTAAGTGGCTCCAAATATCCAACACTTGGTTTTATGACACCAATTTTAGAAGAACTTGCACATCGGCTTAA